CAGAGGCTGCTTACTTGGAATACCACAGAGAAGAATTCTGAGGCCACATTTGGGCTTAGTAGGGGCTCAGTATCTGCAGGGGCTTGAATCCAGGATGCTCTATGAATACCAAAATCCACAGGCTCTCAAATTCTTCATCAAATTATGTAGTGTTTGCATAGAACTTATAGGTTCATCCACCTGTATACTTTAAATCATTTCTAGATACATATAAGTATATGATAATGCAAATGCTATGCAAATAATTGTACTATATTGTTTAAGGAATAATGATAATGAAAATATGTGTTTAGAACAGACATGATTTTTTTCAGAATATTTTTGTTTTGTGGTTGGTTGAATTTGCATGTATGGAGCTCAGGGATATAGAGAGTCAACAGTATTAGGAAGATTTGAAATAGTCGTGGATGGACTGGTAGAAATACTGCAATATTGGCTCTCAAATGGAGAGAAATGCTATCAACTGTTAACATTTTGGCATTGATTGAATTATTTGGTTAGCTGCCTTCACGTGGCTCTAAGAGAATATAGTCACAGGATAGGCTAGTATGTTAAATGATGTTTTTTTCCTTTGCTGTTGAGCTAAAATTGACATAAAATTCATCAATTTAACCATTTTAAAATGTACAATTCAGTGGCTTTCAGTACATTCACAAGTTTGTGCAACTGTCACTACTGTATCCCAGAGCTTTTTAATCACTCTATAAAGAAACCCTGTATCCATTAAACAGTCACTCTCAATTCTCTCCTTCTTTTAGGTACCAGTGATCACTAATCTGACTTTTTTTTTAACACTATGGATTTACCTGTTCTGGACATTTCCTAGAAATGGAATTGTGTGTGGCCTTTTGTACCTGGATCATTTTACTGAGCATGTTTTCAAGGTTCACTATGTTGCAGTATGTGTCAGTACCCCTTTCCTTTTAATGGTGGGATAATATTCCATTGTATTGATAAAAACATTTCATTTATCTATTCATCATTTGATGGACATTTGGATTGTTCCCACTTTGGGGTTATTATGGATAATGTTATTATGAGTATTCAGTTATGAGTTTTTGTTTGATCACTTGCTTTCAATTCTCTTGGGTAGATAGATGAAATTCCCCGCCAACACACACCTTTGGTGAAGACAGATCTATTCAAAACAGTCTAATGGGCGAATTTTGCTAAGAAGAAAAAAGCAAGAGTTTGGGTGTTGCCTGGATAAGAACTGGGAGTAGAAAAGACTGTAACAGAGCACTCTGGGAAGGCTGTGGAATCCTAAGGGAAAAAAGTCTGGGGAGAAAGGAGGGCAGGAGAAGGAAAAGATGGTGCCACACACACACACACACACACACACAAAAAAAAAACAGATGGTGAGGGCTGTGGCTGTGGCTCAGTGGCAGAGTGCTTGCCTGGCACGTGTGAGGCACTAGGTTCGATCCTCAGTACCACACACACACACACACACACACACACACACACAAAAGCAAATAAAATAACGTCATGCTATTCATCTACCACTACAAAAAAAATTTTTTTAAAAAGACATGTTTTAAAAAAAAACAGATGGGAAGGATCTTGAACTTACTGAATAGATGAAGAAAGGAGTTTTTAAGAACTTATAAAATGGCTGCTGATTTTTTCTGTTTTTAATAAGGAAGGAGGAAATCTGATGGAGATAAAAAGATGCCTTAGGGGAGGGTCAAAGTAAACTAAAAATTGTTTTATAGTTTAGGTTGTCTTAACAGGGTGTTGTAAATGGATGATTTTGGGGCAGAAAGAAGGAAAACTTAAGATGGCAAAATAGGTAGAGCAAATTTTAATTAAAGAAAGGGGCTCACTTATTACAAGAATGCTGATATGCATTTTTATAGTGATGGACTTTTTCTAAAGCATTTTATATCATTATATTCATTAGGATGAATGAATGAGGCAGAGGAGGTACCATTTGTTGCCATTTGAGGAACAAAAAAAATCCAAGTGTCTAGCACAGCATCTGGTGATGGTAGGAATTCAGTCAGTATTTGTAAAATAAATGAAACAGAGTCATAGCAAGTCAAAGACTGTCAGAGCTGCTAGAGTCATGAGACCATCCACAAGTCTTCCTCCCTCCTCATTTTTTCAGAGTAGGAATGTTAGAGCAGAATGAGAAAGTCCTGGGCTTAAATCCAAGGTCCTATGGTCAGTGAATGAAGAACCCAAGTCAGTAGTCTTATCCTCTACCTCCATAACATCAACTACATTGTTTTGTGATGATTTGCACTCTTGTCTGTTTCCACCACTGAGCCATAAGCTCCTGGAGATAGAGTTTGTGTCTGATTCATCTTTGATTCCCCAAAATATAGCACAGTTGTTGAAACTTGTTGAATGGATGCACAGGAACCCAAAAGCTCTCTGTTCTTTCTTGTCTCTGCTCCTTCTCAATTCTGCCACAGGTTTTAGTGGCAGTTGCAGGACTCAACCATAGGATTCCCTCTTCCTTTCTTTGCTATGAAGTATCAACATCTTGAGGAATTGTGCTCTTCAGTGTGGGACTTAGTAATATGGAAGAAGAAGAAGTGATGGGATTTTCAAGAGGTTTTTGAAATAATTCCTTGTCTACCTGTTTTGACCTTCCTGGGGACTTGTATTTGCTCCTAAGCCCATATTAGTTAAGGTGTCTCTGATTGGTATTAATTGTGGCCAGTCTGTGAATGGCATAGGTTGGGTACCCAGGCCAGTCCATAGGGCCTGTCTGCAGGGCAGAAAGAGAGGCATGGAGGGATTATATCTAGATTATTGATCATGTTATAGGCTTTGGAATCTGACCTCTGTCCTTTGATTCTGCTTCATGTTAAGTAGCCCCCATGAGGTTCTTCTACCTGAATTTCCAGTTCCTGTCTCCTATACCAACTCTATGCTGAATCCTATCACCATCCCCTTGGACTGGGGACAGCTTGACATCCTTTGGTTTGTTCTCTCCCACCCCAGTGCCAGTAAATTCATACAGTGCAGACTGCAAAAGGACCCCATTGGAAAGCTCAGTTTTATTTGTGTCAAATGATGGCCCTAATACCAGCAACCTGACTCCTCCTTATTTCAAAACAGTTTCCACAAGTATTAGTCAGGGTTCTCCAGAGAAACAGAACCAATGATGTGTGTGTGTGTGTGTGTGTGTGTGTGTGTATGAAAGTGGCTCCCATGATTATAGACACTGAAAAGTCCTAAGAGCTGAAGTTAACAAGCTAAGGACCCAGGAGAGCTGGTGGTGTAGTTTCAGTTCAAAGGCTACCAGGCTTGAGGCCCAGGAAGAGCCTATGTTTTAGTTCAAATCTGCAGGCAGGAGAAAAACAATGTCCCTGTTTAAATGCAGTCAGTTAGGCAGTAGGGATTCCCACTTGTTTGGGAGAGGGCCAGCCATTTTGTCCTATCTGGCTTCAGAAGAGGCCCACCCATATTAGGGAGGACAACCTACAGCCTGTTTTATCCAGTCTGCTGATTCCAATGCAGATCCCATCCCAAAACACCTTCACAGAAATGCTCAGAACACTGTTTGACTGAATATCTGGGCATCCCATATCCCAATCAAGTTAACACATAAAATTAACCATTATGCCACAAAACTTAAGAGCAAAGCCAGGTGGTTTTATTACATGGATGAAATATCCAGGAGCCAGTGAATATTCTTTGCTCCTTGTCCTTCATCTTGAAAAAGGCAAAGAAGGATCTGTTAGTTCTCAGAATTCACCCAGGTAGTCTTAGGTGCCCATGTAAAAAACTTAGTGGCCCAGGGAGAGTGGGAAGCATTCTTAGCATCGCCATGAGAAGGTCAGTTCAAGTCCTCCAGCCTTGTGACCCATTTTAAATCCTCCAGCCTTGTGATGGCAGGGAGGTTGGAGTGAGCCTCTTCTTTCCATCTTTGATGGAGGTAAGCCACTTCTCAATCCTTGGAGGTGGCATCTTCTGCCCAAAGGGGGCTCAGCTTGTTGTGTGTGAAGGTCCATGGATATGTCAGTTTGAACAAAGAAGGATGATACTTAAGGTGATAGTGCAGGAAGGAACCAATATAGGACATGATGGCACCAGCAACATGTTGAAGTTCGCAGGGCAGCATACTTGTGGGAGTGGGTGGGGAGCTCTCAAAGGGGAAAAGGGTGTTGCATTATCAGAATTTGCTCCTGTGATGATAGAGGTTTGCTTCTTCTTTACAAGAAGAAATACAAGAGGAGGTTGGTTTTCAAAATGCACTCTCTGATTGTGAAAGATGAGACATGCAGGGGCTTCTACAGGTGAATGCTCATCTAGCCTGGGGGATGCTGGAGGCTCTCAGAGGATAGTTGCAGGTGAGTTAAACCCTGCTGGAGGGGGAGAGTTGGTGCTATAGTTTGGATCTGGAATGTCCCAAAGGCTTATGTGTTGAATATTTGATCCCTAGCTGATAGTGTTATTGGAGGTGGACCTTAGGTAGAAAAGGTGGGTGATTTGGGGTGTGCTCTGCAAGGGAATGTCTTGTCCCTGTCCCATCCTTTTACCTCTCTCTTTTTCTCTCTCTCCCTCCTGCCTTCCTAGCCACCATGAAGTGAGCCCATCTGCTCTGTCACATGCTCCTCACCATGACATTTTGCCTCACCCTGGACCCATAGTGATGGGGTCAAGTAACTATGGACTGAAACCTCTGAAATTATGAACTGAAATAAATCTTTCATCATTTAAGCTGTTTTTCTCACGGTGATGGAAAGCTGATAAGAGTCATCCTGTCAGATGTTTAGACCAGAGGTGGCAGCTAGGAACTGTTTCTCAAATAATCACTGAAGGCCATTTCAAAGAGAATGGTGCATGACAATGGGATAAGAGACTTACAAGTAAATCATGTTTTGTATCTGTCTTGTCACAAGCCAGGAACAGGGTTTTGTTGCACTTTACAAAGATCACAACTTTTCCTTTTTTTTCAGGCTGAGATGTGAGGTGGGAATGGATTTCGCTTTTTCTCTGCCTCAGTTTCCCCAACCCATCCTGCCCATGGTCTACACACTCACCTGCACCAAGTCTGGTGTGAGGCGCTTGGCTTGCAGCCATTTCTGGAATCTCCCTGTTTTCCTCAAGACACGCTCAATGCTGCAGGTCTTTGGAGCTGATGCTGACACACAGATTCTCCTGTCTGAGATCTCATTTTGGTATTTGCTGGCCAGCCTCAAGATCTCCACAGGGCGCCAGGTTTTGGAATCATCTGAGTAATTTGCAGAGTAAGAAGGCAAGTCACCAGGAGGTAGTCCAAGGTGGGAAGCCCGCGTGTTGTCAAACCTGTCAGAAGAATAGTCTTTTTAGGATTGGCCTGTGAACTAGAGGCTAGTGGAACCAAAGACAGAGAGACTGGGGACAACAGCCTGTCTGATCCATTTCTCTTCCTTAGATTAAGTGTTCCAAATTCTTTCAATGAGAAGACTACTTCTATTTCCTCAAACTTAGGGAAGTGTATATGTTATTGTCAGTAAAAGGTTAGGAAGGTATGGGTCAGACAGAATATCTTCCTCAATTCACTGGTACAATAACTAGCTATGGTCCTCTGAAGATCTAATCCATGTAAAAATAGTAGTTTTACATGTGCTAACACTTTTGATATTCCTCACACTCCATCCCCACTTTATAGATGCAGAAACTGAGGGTCATGGAGTTTAAGTATTTTTGTTGAAGGTAGACAATATGTTGCCAAGCCGTGATGCAAACTCTGGGCTATTCATCAGCAAACTATTATGCTTACCCCTCCCCATACTCATTGCTCAATACATCACCCTCTGACCAGTGCCTGGGTCTTGGAACGATAGTTCTTGAAGAGGTTCTTGGGCCTGCTCTAGGGAAACCACTGATCCTCCATATCCAACCCCAAGGAGCTCATCAATTTTGCTTTTTTCCCCATGGGTTTAAGTAATTAGCACCAACCAAGACTTAGACAACTTTGGCTACTAAATATTAGGTCACCAAATTGGAAGCTATTAGGCCTCCAGGAGGTATGAAATTATGCAATGGTATGGTCATTCTTTAATCCTCCTCAGGGGAGAGGCACAGGCTTATTATCATCTACTGATTTCCTAGGCCCAACATTTACCCTTTTCTCCATAATCATTTCTCCAGCTGTGTGCTGACATTTCCATCAGGGAAGAATGTTAAATCTCCTTTTGATTTATGTATGAAAAATCACTCAGAAAAAGTTTACCTTCATTATTATTAATAACTGAGGGTCATACTTCAAGTGAAAAGCAGGTTATGTATTATGTATTTAACTTAAATGAAAATCTTTAAATTCTTATTATTGGGCATTATTGGATATCCCTATGATAATGAGTTTTAGATAATGTATTTTGGAAGAATTGGCATTTCAGTGAACCCCAAACCCTAGATTATTTTATTTTCTCATTTATATGATGCAGCATTATCCTAAGAGACTACTGTTTTGATGGTGAAGAAAGACAAACAAAAACTCCCGAGGAGATAGCGACGCAGGGATACAGCGCTGCAGTTTCTGCCAGCCGTGCAAGCACCGTACTCAGGGCTGAATTCTGGGTTTGAGACAGGGGAAGGAAGCGGTCCATCTCGGTTCTCCACACCGGTCAGACCACAGAGGAGGCCAGCAGCCACCATGTTGGAAAGCTGACGTCACCATCCCTGTTTTCGACTGACCGCAGCTCATTCAGTGATAGAACAGGTAATTTCAGGCTGCCATTCGCCTGCGGCTTGCAGACACATTGCTACGGTTCAGTGCCTGGGGGCTTCTTAGAACCTGATCTTATTGGAGCGAACACGGAGCGCGGGGCGCCGAGTTCCAGCTCCCGGAACCGCCCTGGCCCAGGGCTGGGGAGCCTGCGGAAGCTGCTTCTTGGACCCTGCTCCTATCAGAGCATACACCAAGCACTAAGTGGCCAAATTCCGGCTCCCGGAACTGAGCCCGCGGGGACTGCTTCTTGGAGCCTACTCTTATCGGAGCTTACACCGAGTACGGAGAGGCCGAGTTCCGGCTCCCGGAACTGCCCTGGCCCAGGGCTAGGAGCCCACGGAAACTGCTTCTCGGTCCGGGTCCTGCTGAGGGCTGGTCAGGACTCACCCGTTGCTTTGGTTGCCCTGCAAGGGGAACGAAATGCTGCCATTCGCATAGGATACCAACATGGCAGAGATCTGATGTCATCAGAAAGCGGCGGAGGAGAGAACTTCATCAATACCAGCGGTGACAGAAACAGTTGGTCTCCTGGTAGGGGGGGTGAGGCACAGACACCCGAGTCTCCTCAATTTGTCGTCGAGCCAGAGGGGAGGAGCCGGGCCGCCGCCAGCGCCCGGAGCAGGCTCAGCGGCTCGCCAGCGTGGTGACCGCGTGACCCCAATTGGAGAGGGGGCGGAGAGGAGCCGCCACCCGCACCCGCAAGGTGGGCAGACCCGCGACCCAGTGGTACATGGGTGTGGTAGGAGGGGCAGGGCAGAGCCGCCGCCCGCGCTTGCAAGGTAAACAGACCTGTGACAGACTGGCGGGTCAGGCCCAGTGGCCTGCCAGTGTGGTACACACGTCATCCCAACTGGAGTAGGGGCAGAGCAGATCCTTCTCCCACGCCCGGATCAGGCCCTGCCGGTGTGGTGGCCACGTGACTCCAATTGGAGTGGGGGCGGAGCGGAACCGCCACCCGTGCCCGCAGGGTGAGCAGACCTGTGACCAACCTGCAGATCAGGCCCAGGGGTCCGCAGGCGTGGTAGGAGGGGCAGGGCAGATCCGCCGCCCACGCCTCCAAGGTAGGCAGACCTGCGACAGACCGGCGGATCAGGCCCAGGAGCCTGCCGGCGTGGTACACACACCACCCTAATTGGAGTAGGGGCAGAGCAGAGTCGCCGCCCGTGCTAGGAACAGGCCCAGCGACCTGCAGGCGGGGTAGTCACGACACCCCAATTGGAGTAGGGGCAGAGCAGAGCCGCTGCCCGCGCCTGCAGGAAAGATACACAAGCAGTATGAAAAGACAAGGAAAGAAAGGACCACAAGCAATGCAGGTCAACACAACTTTAGAAGAGGTAACAGCTGCAGCAGATGGAATGTCAGATAAAGAATTCAGGATATACATGCTTCAGATGATCTGGAGTATCAAGGAAGAAATTAGACAGCAAAATCAGACAATCAAAGATCACTTCGACAATGAATTACGCAAACAAATCCAGGAAGCAAAGGATCAACTATACAGGGAGATAGAGGTTATAAAAAACAAACAAACAGAAATCCTAGAAATGCAGGGAGCAATAAACCACCTTAAAAACTCAATGGAGAATACTACCAGCAGAGTAGAACACTTAGAAGATAGAACATCAGACAATGAAGACAAAGTATTTCAACTGGAAAAGAACATAGACAGCTCAGCAAGACTCTTAAGAAACCATGAGCAGAACATCCAAGAAATATGGGATAAAATTAAGAGACCAAACTTAAGAGTCATTGGGATACAGGAAGGTACAGAGCTCCAAACCAAAGGAATGAGCAGTCTATTCAATGAAATAATACGAGAAAACTTCCCAGACTTGAAGAATGAGACAGAATCCCAAATCCTAGAAGCCTACAGGACGCCGAATGTGCAAAATCATAAGAGATCCACACCTAGACACATTATAATAAAGATGCCCAACATACAGAATAAGGAGAGAATTTTAAAAGCTACAAGAGAAAGGAAGCAGATTACATTTAGGGGTAAGCCAATCAGGATAACAGCTGATCTTTCAACACAGACTCTGAAAGCTAGAAGATCCTGGAATAACATATTTCAAACACTGAAAGAAAATGGGTTCCAACCAAGAATTGTGTATCCAGCGAAATTAAGCTTCAGGATGGAAGATGAAGTTAAACCTTCCACGATAAACAAAAGTTTAAAGAATTCGCAGCTAGAAAACCATCTCTTCAAAACATCCTTGGCAAAACATTACAGGAAGCGGAAATGGAAAATAACAATGAAAACCAACAGTGGGAGGTAGGACAGTAAAGGGGGGGGGAATAATCAAAGAGGAAAACAAACCATGTTTAGTAACAGAAATAAACAAATATGGCTGGAAGAACAACCCATATCTCAATAATAACCCTAAATGTTAATGGCTTAAACTCACCAATTAAGAGACACAGGCTAGTAGAATGGATGACAAAACAAGACCCAACAATATGCTGCCTACAGGAGACGCATTTGATAGGAAAAGACATACATAGGCTGAAGGTGAAAGGTTGGGAAAAATCATATCACTCATATGGACTTCGGAAACAAGCAGGAGTGTCCACACTCATATCAAATAAAATAGATTTCAAGCCAAAGTTAATCAAAAGGGATAAAGAGGGATACTATATACTGCTCAAGGGAACCATACACCAACAAGACATAACAATCATAAATATTTATGCCCCAAACAATGGTGCAGCTATGTTCGTCAAACAAACTCTTCTCAAGTTCAAGAGTCTAATAGACCACCATACCATAATCATGGGAGACTTCAACACACCTCTCTCGCCACTGGACAGATCTTCCAAACAAAAGTTGAATAAGGAAACTATAGAACTCAATATCACAATTAATAACCTAGACTTAATTGACATATATAGAGTATACCACCCAACATCAAGCAATTATACTTTTTTCTCAGCAGCACATGGATCCTTCTCAAAAATAGATCATATATTATGTCACAGGGCAACTCTTAGACAATATAAAGGAGTAGAGATAATACCATGCATCTTATCTGATCATAATGGAATGAAACTGAAAATCAATGATAAAAGAAGGAAGGAAAAAGCATACATCACTTGGAGAATGAACAATAGGTTACTGAATGATCAATGGGTTATAGAAGACATCAAGGAGGAAATTAAAAAATTCTTAGAGATTAATGAAAACACAGACACAACATATCGGAATCTATGGGACACATTGAAAGCAGTTCTAAGAGCAAAATTCATTGCTTGGAGTTCATTCCTTAAAAAAAGAAAAAACCAACAAATAAATGATCTCATACTTCATCTCAAAATACTTGAAAAAGAAGAGCAAAACACGAGCAAAAGAAGTAGAAGGCAAGAAATAATTAAAATCAGAGCTGAAATTAATGAAATCGAAACAAAAGAAACAATTGAAAAAATTGACAAAACTAAAAGTTGGTTCTTTGAAAAAATAAACAAAATCGACAGACCCTTAGCCATGCTAGTGAAGAGAAGAAGAGAGAGAACTCAAATTACTAGCATACGGGATGAAAAAGGCAATATCACAACAGACACTTCAGATATACAGAAGATAATCAAAAACTATTTT